GTGTTGCACTTTAGTGTTGTAGTAGGGATATGGCAGGTAGTTTTTTCTGTAGTTATGTGGCACCAGAGGCTTTAGGAAAAGACAGCTAACAGTAAAGTGGCATCTTATGGAAAAAGATAGAAGCACTATCAATTCCTTATGGTGAAAATATTCTCCAGTATGAGTGGGAGGTCTCTAGCCTGTGAAGCACAAGAAACTTGAAAAAACCTCCATCTCATTTTTTGTTTTTCTTGTTGTGATGCTCATCTCTCTCTCACAAGTCTTCAGTGCAAATTCTCGCTTCTTTTTAAATGAAAACCATTTATTTTGAGACATCTAAATCTAAGGGATAGGGAATGAGAAAGGGGTAAAAGGCTGCAGTTCTGTTTGAGCAGAGCTCTGTGCCAGGTGTGACAGCTGGGCAGTGCAGGTTTCCTTCTGTCACTGCTTCAGCCTCCTCTATTCACCAGTGAGCCAAGCACAAAACACTTGGTGCCAGGCTCACATTCAAGGTGGCAAATACCAAAAGATCTTCATGTGTATCTCCTGCTGACACTGCTGCCATATCATCACAGCACAGGGTCATGCCCTGTGCACTCCGTGTCTTAAACTGCCAGAAATGCTTGAGATCATTTTTATACATACACATTTCCCTGTACTTTATTATTTCTGAGCACACAAGGCAGGTAACAGGTACTTAATAACAGTCAGATAATAGATGGTTTGGAAGGACTATCAGTTTAAAATGCTTATGGTGCATGAAGGCCTTGAGCAATTTGTCCCAGGAATGAGAAATCAGGCAGAGTGTGATACCAAAATGTATTCTGCTGGAAAGATAAGACATTTTTGTGCCAACTGCCTACTTCAGAATTTCAGTAATATTAATTTATAGGGCATGTTGGTACTATTTTGTGACAATAATAGCTGCTCTTACAGAATACATCTGGAGAGATTGAAGAGCCTAAGTGATATTTTCAGGATGTGAGTGTATATATATGATGAGTTTGGGTTTTATTTTATGAGGTGAATCCTTTGTTTGTTTCATGTCCATCTTCTGTTACAAGCTCGTATCATTACTTTTGCTGAAGTTTGAGTATATAGAGGGATTATTAACAGTCATCAGTAACTGAAAAATGTCACAGGAAAAAAAGAAAACTGACACCGTATATGTGTGCTTCTGTAGATATATTAAAAGTGAGAAAATAAGGTGGGAAACTAGAATGACAGGTATTGAATAAGGAAATACATATGCTTGCTAGAAACTAGGTAATACTCAGGTTCATAAAAAAGAGAGAAGACTGTGCAAGCGGAGAAATAAAATTGAATATTAAATATAAAGTCAAATAAAATGAAACAAATGTTTTTTTGCCTTCAAAGACCAAAAACTTTCAGGTGGACTAGAAAGAAAATAAATGGTAAGATATGAATAGGATAAGCAACTACTCACCATTGCTATTAGAATACTTTTAAGTCATGAGGAGTTGCTTTTACGAAGAGTTAAATTCATTGACATGTGAAAATCATTATGGAATTGCAGAGAGAAAAGTAACTGAGAAAGTAATACAGTAAGTGTGCTAAAACCAGAGGAAAATACATAGTACGAAGTGCTCTAATGAAGCCATGTTATTTTGTGCTATATTGCTGCATCCCCATACTTCCACTGTAATCATCAAGCATCTGCAGAGAATTTTTAGGCCTACCCACAAAACAGGTTGTATAAGGAAGCAATCTCTGGACTCAAAAGTAAGTGCTGGCATACCTGAGCCACCCTCTTTGCATACTAAGATCTTGTAGGAAAAGACAGCAGATCTTCAGTGCTAGGTGGCCTAAATTCTGCATAATTCACTGTCATTAGTATGTCCAAGAGCTGTACTGCAGTCACACACTGTATTGCCATGATCACAGATAGAATTTGGGATCATGGATGGACCCTTTTGGATCATGCACTGGTGAGTGACAAGGGTATATTGGCTCCAGAATTATCTCCTATTCAGTTTATCTTGGACTATTCACCAGTTTATCCCCATAACGTAGCTAAAGAAACTGTTGCACTGGAAGGAATGGAACTGTGCAGTGCGAGCTACAGAAGAATGCAGGAATGAATGCCTGCAGCACAGCGTAAAATCCCTGCTGCTTCTGGTGCCTGAAACAACTTGGTTTGAGCTACCTGTGCCATCTCTGCAGTAGACTGCAAACAGCCTGCTGGAAAAGAAGGAGAAAGCAGGGAAAAAACCCACTAGGAAGGGATGGTCAGAAGTGTGAATAAAGCCACATGAATTTGAGTCTGTGTTCAAGGACCAGGATCCTCAGTCTTGGATACTTTAATCATCAGCCTCAGATGCAGCTCACCCCCACTGCAGGAAGTGCATAGTTCACAAAACTCTGTGTCAGCCCAGTAATCTCACAATTCACACATCTTAGAATGTCCTACAGAACCAGATGTGAAAGGAAACTTGTACTGCCCATGACCTCTGCTCAGTGATGTCCAGGTTCACAGTCACACATTTACACTCTATGAACATTTGGACATTTGGATGCTCTAAAGCAACCAGTGCAGCATATCACAACATACTTTTTAGTGAGTTACTACCCATGACCTTTAGTATTTTGAGATGGTAACAATTTCTAAAGGAAAATCATCTGATCCCATCATTTCAGTTCCCTTAGCAGCTTTATCCAGATTGGTAGCTTTTGTTGTTTTAAATTTTTATTTAAAAGAATGCGTAAGGATGAGTTTACTGGGTTAAAATGGCTGAACTTTTATGAAAGGCAAACGGGAAACAAAAGTTTTAAAAGGCATCCACCCCTGGAATAGGGCAGTCTGTACATCCAAGGACATTCCTTGGGATCTGTTTTGACCCTTAGGTTTCCTCTGCTTGGCAGAATTGCTTTGCAGAGATAGCCAGGGAATATTTAAAGGCACTGAATGCATCAGGTGTGATTTGGTATAAAAGGAATAGTAGTGAGAATAGGGAAGGAGGGATAGACTGCTCTTCTGTTTGTTTTACATGATGCTGCTTGGTACTACAGAGAGTTCCCCTAAACACAGTTATGCCATTGTTCATTCAGAAGATTTTCATTTGCCTTTGGAGGCAGGTGAACTTGGAGGATGTAATATGGGATGCAAATAGTGATTTCTTCAGGGGATTTTCTGACAAGAACTAGATCAGAGTGAATAACAGTAGCTATTTACTCACCTCTGAGCACCAACATTTTGCACTGCTACACCAAGGAAAACATTTCCAATAGATGTATCTGTCCATTGCACTTCAGTCAGTGTGGAGCAGAGCTATTTTCTCTCACTCTGGAAATGCATTTGGATTCCTAAGGAACTGTATTCACTTTTGTTCCCAATTTCCTAACATAAATTAAGGAACTACCAAAGTAGTAAGTACTGCATCTCTGTGGATAATTTTGTCAGGAAAAAATGAAATAAAACATTACTCAGAGCGTTCCTGTAACTGCTCAACTAATGACTTAATGAGCTGCAGCAGTAACTATTCAATATGCAGCTCTAACTGTTAAATACTTCAACTAAAGCCCTTTTGTTTCTGAAAACCTCAAGCTAGATAAGAATCTTAAGCGAAACTCAAAAAGACAATGAAAGAAATCTTTGCCTGGTAAAAGGTAGTAGCACTGGTTTTACACAATCTTCTCAATTTTTAATGGGGATTAACATTTGAGAAGATACATCACTAGCAGGAGGAAAGTGTACTGATTTCTTCACGTCTTCTCCCATCCTCAGAGCAGAAAAGTACAAGAGTTGCCAAGAATCTAATTTGCTCTTTCCTTTCTAGCTTTACAGAACCGAAATGCATTTAGCTGAGAATGCCCCTGCAAATTTTATATTAGTAGGGCAAACAGAAAAGTATTATTATGAACTTGACCACAAGTACAAAAGGCACAACGTTTCCCAATCTTTGTACCTGGAAATGAGAAATAACATTTCAAAAAGTGGATTGAACCTTATAAAACCTTAACTGCCATCACTTGGAAATACTGCAGTTCTGATAAGTCAATTCAGAAAATATGTATAATGTGATTTGAATATGTAGGAGTTCAGTGAATAATCTCAGTGCATTGCTAAGAGGAGTAAAAGACCAGAAATACAAATCAATCTGTTTAAAAAAAAGAAATAAAACACAAAAAACCCAGTAAGTTATCTCTCCAGCACAGCAAATGTGAAAACAATAATAAAGAAACATTTCCCAGGGGAGACTCAGAGCACTCTCTGAGAAACAGAGTCCATCAATGCATCTGTGTAGGAAACTGGCAACTATATCTTCCCTCTGCTGCATGGACATTACAACTGACTTATTCCATTATTGTCAGGACTACAAAGGTAAAGTTTTTCCCAGACTTTTTTTGTTTGAGAGTCACAAAGCTTTATTTTGCTTCAAGAAATCAGAAAAAACCTGAGCACTTTGAAATGATGTTCTTACCAGACCTCTAGATATGCACAGATGGTAATGTAAATAGTCTCATTAGTTAAAATCAGCAGGAACAAAGCATCTCAGAGCTGACTGTGAGAAAAGCTATTAAAAATGGGATCTGAAGTGATTTCTGAAGAGGAGGCAAATGCCTCTGCCATCTGCAGAAATACAGAAAAGAGGGAAATTTGAAATCCTCTCCCTTTACACACAGACACTCTGCAACTCCTTATCAGTATATATTAGATGCCTGGCTGAGAGACAGACTGTTTTCACAGTGGGAAGCAAAACCCTGAGTTGCTGTTACAGAATAAGTATTGAAAGATGGAGCACAGCTGAAGTCAAACAGAGAGAGGAAATTTTGGTATAAAAGAAAGCAGAAGAATAAAAACAATGGAAGACTGAAGAAAAAAGATCAAGGACCAGGAGGAAAAGTGTGTTAGGGAGAGATCCTAAAGAAGCACACAGGAGCACAATGAATGAACTATTGAGATCTTTGCCTCTCATCACTATGATTGTTATCTCTGCATTTTTATTTTGGCAGAGAATCTGATCTCAGTCTCTCACCGCTACACTTTTCTCTTGTCTCACCTGTCCACAGCGATGGCTGTCATGGAGTAGATGCTGGCGAAGACAGCTGTGATTGGGAAGAAGTTGTGGAAGCGGCAGTAAGCCTCTCCAAAGTACCACTCGCTGTGCAGTGCGTAGATGAAGTTGATGAGAGTATTGAAAGCAGCCATGGAGGCATCAGAGAAGGCCAGATTCACCAGGAAGTAATTTGTCACCGTCCTCATGCGCTTGTGAGCCAGAATAATCCAGATGACAATAAGATTCCCAAAAACGGCCACTGCCACCACGCCACCGTAAGCCAGAGACCACAGGGCAATGCGCCAGGAAGGTTGCACGAACTGATTGGAGAAGTTGCCTGCTGAGGAGGCTACAGGAGCAGAAGCATTTGCAGCTGGTGCTTCCAGAGCCTGTCCCCAGGGATCACCTGCTTCAACAAGGCTCACGTTCCACCTGCTGCTCGTGCTCATGTTCCACTTGGCTGTGGGGACTGAAGTCATCTTGGGTGTTTCTCTCCTCTCTTCCAGGAATGATGTAGCTCTCCCACCTCCCTATCCTAACCCCCCGAAATCCCCACCAACAGATAAAAAGAGGGAAGGAAGAGGAGGGGAAGTAAGGTAGCACAGCAGGTACTGGAGAGCTCTGTCAGAAAAAATCTTTGGCTATGCTGTTCAAACTGTTAGAAATGCTCTAACAGACAAGTCAGGAGAGCTACCTCGGAGTAGAACAGCAGCCTGTTTCTCCTCTGTACAGCGTCTTGCTTTTGATTTTGCTCAAGGAGAAGGGGACTGGAAGCCAAAGCACATTTTATAGGCTTGTGAGTTCCCAGCGTCACGAAGGGAGTGGAGCGATAAGCTCCATCGGCTGGTAAGCTAACAGCTCCTTCCCTCTGCTCTCCCTCCCCTTGTATGTCATTCGTTGCCAGCAGCAGGCACTTTCAGGAGCTGTGGAAAGCATCACAGGGAAAATGAATTCTCATCTCGTTTATGTTGAGAGATTTGTTTTATATTGTCTTTCTTTAAGTTTCATTATTGTGCATCCTTTTTTAAATAGTCTATTTGCCCTGTGTTTGCAGGGCTAATCAGCTGGCTTAGTTGAAATTCCCAGGACTGAGGCTGCCTTTTTTATTAAAGCTCTTTCCAGATGAATTTATTCCAGATCAATTCAGATCTCCTTTTTTGCTGCTCTCTTTTTATTTAGTATACACTTTCCTTGAAACCATTCTGTAACTTACAGATTTAGAATAGTGACTCTTTCAGACAAACAAATACATTCTGCTGCTCTCTAATTTCACTTTTCATTCTGTAATATGTAATTGATATCAAGAAATATTTATAAGCTATTTGCATGTTCAGCAGTTACTGATTTTTATTGAAACAGTATGCAACCCATAGGTGTCCCTAGTTATGGGTAAAATATTAGGGGTTTGTTTTCTTTGTGTCTTTGAAAAAAAAAAGTTCTTGTCCCTGATTTGCATGTATTTCATGCTTAGTACTATTATTATTTTGAGCAACCAATATTTTGATATGCAGTGATTTCTATAGCTGTATAAAAGGGTAAATGAGGAAATTTAACACCCAATGTTTTCAAATCCAAAATCAGTTTTCTTGCTAATATATTAACAACAACTGGCATTAGGAATGCATGTTTTATGCAAGGATTGATTGCAAGGGACTTCAACTAACAAACCTTTGTTATTCAATAGGCTGCAGTCTTGAGGGAGAAAATGTGTTTTAGTGCCAATCTTTCATGTTTCAACAATTTAGAGCTGCTACTTGTCATCAGCAGAGGTTTCAATTGTATCACAGCAGTGGGAGCTATTCAATGTCCCTATCAGCAATGACACATTCAGTACTTTTTTAAACAAAAGCTTCAAACAAAAATCAAATACTCCTGTGTACCACTTCCTCCCTGATGTATTTACCCAGTGGAAGCAGTGCCTGCATTTTAATTGTCAGGTTTTCACTGCAGTTTTAATTTGAATGAATGTAATTGTGGCTGTTTCTGTATGAGCTTTTACCAACTTATCCCAGCCCTTATGTGAGCAGCTGCCCACATCAGGCTTAAAAGCTTTGCAGAAAACCACAGAAGCTCTGTTGTAAATCACCTGGTGCTACAGCCTGTCTAAAACCTACCCATGCACTGCAGATGCTTGTAACAGGAAAGTCACTGCAGTTAATCCCACAGTTCCATTTTGAATTCTAAATCTTCCAGCTGCCTCTTCTTTCTTCCTCTCCCTGGAGGCGAGCCTGAAGAAAGGCATGGTAGACAATCTCTGTGAGTTTGAGAGATGAAAACATTCAATTGCTGGTTCCAAAGAGTGAGGAACAATGGACTGACTAGTTACAGCAGAGAGTTGGACACTCAGCTCTTGATTCCAGCAGCTTCACTCAAGATTTTCACATGGCTGTGAGCCAGAGAGCACAACCCAGCCCTGTGCCCAGTACCATTCCACCTTTATGCCCAAACTAAGAACTCCGGACTTTATATCCTTTTACTAAGCTGATGTGTTTTTCACATTTTGTACACCAGTTGCACAAGTGCCCCACATTCTTCTGTTGCTTCCACCCATCTCTCCCAACCTCAGCTCTATTACTCCTTTCCCTTTATTTTAGCAGAGACAGGATCTTATTTCTAGCACACAGTACTGACAAGTGTGCAGTAGAGTGTAAATTTACAGGAACAGAATCCTGTGGGGCACTGTGGTAATTTCCTCTGTACGGGGAGATAAAGGATCTGTGTTTGCACCACTTGCTGTAGTTCATGGAATCCCATTCTGGTCATGTTTGTAAATTCTGTCACAGGTTTCCCTGAAAAATGTGCAATATCCAGTAGTGCTGCAAACTAGGGACTGGATTTTGACTTTGAAAGCAGAAGTCTAATTTCTTGTTCTGGAATGAAGCTTGTTCTAGCTTTGCTGTGAAAAATTGCTGGCCATTGCACTCCAAGTGTTCAGGAGAGACAATTCCCATGTCTTTCCCTAATCATCTATGGTCCCCCCAAGGGAATTTGTTCTCAATGCATTCCCAGTCACAATGTGAGAAGACAGTACAAGGTAACATCCCCTTATTCTAGCAGAGCTATAGGTAAACCGAGTCCTTGAGACTTCAAACACAAATCAGGAAGCTTTTTGTAATCTGTGTTTGTGAAATGTCAGCCAGGCCCCCAACACAGGAGTGCCAGCTTTGCGGTGTAGAAATCAGTCTCATTGATTCTGTCTTCCTCTTCAGAGGTATGCTGAGAAAATAAGTCTTCCCTGTAGGGAAATTTTTATATACTATGCTCCTCCCCATCCCCTCTCCCCCATAAATGAGAAGAAAAACTGTGGGGTATCATTAGCATAAAAGGACAACCTAGATTTTTAAATTAGTCATTTGCTCAGTAAGATGGATGTGATCAGCCTGCAGCATGTATCTGAAACTGGCAGAAGAGGTGGCTGAATATCTGCACTTGTTTTGTTTTGAGAAGTGGAAAACTGAACAGCACAGGACAAATGTTGGGCAGCTGGATCAGTCTCCCGTGGGGAATATTTATGACTCCTTTTGGAGATGACTAAATATTTGCTAGAATAAATTCTCTGTGTTCTGGTTTTCATTCTTACTGAAACCACAGAGAAATAATTGGAGCAAAATCAGATTTTCCTACATCCAAAGGGCTACAGCAAAAAATAGGGTGATCTGCCTTGCTGACCTTTTACTAAACTAAATAAGAAGAGATGTTGGGCAGCTAGTCATTAATTGGATCTTATATATGGAGGAAATTCACATATATAGTGATGTCAGCTGTGCTTCTCCATCAAAATTTGTATTGGTTACACATGTACTGATTGAAGTTTAGTCAGCTGGAGGCCATCAGCATTGAATTTCTCAAAAAAGTTCCACAGCAACTTTGGTGAAAACATTTGTGTTAATAACTTCTGAGTAGCATAATCTACCTGACTGGGATGCACCTTATGCAAAGGAGTAGTACAAAAGACAAGGATCTGTGTTTTCTCTCAGTCTCTCATAGACAATAGAGGGTAACTGTGCTGGTGTTTTCTTCCAGAACTGTTACAGGTATTTGATATCTTATGTTAACTTTTGGCCATTCCAGTTTATGCCTATTTGCAGTTGGAATGTTTAATTTTCCGCTCTGTAAGGCTACTCAATTTTAGAGTGACTTTCTTCTGGCCATCTGCTATCTCCTATTTCCTGATGGTCATTTGCTCCTTTGCTTTTCCACTGACTGCTACTTTGTGCCTGTGTCAAAGCATGTTGTACTTTTAAACTGTGGTTAAACTTGTCACTATTAGCAGCTCCCCATTCCCAGCTTCACAGAAACACTAGGAAATCGATAAGAAATATCCAATGTGTGAACAGAAAAGTAGCTGTGATTGTCTCTACTTCTTCCTTTGTGTTATATAGTTTGAAGCTGTTTTTTCACAGTTCCAGCTTAGCTGGCTCCTACTTATCCAGGGCAGAAGCTTAGCTTCAGACTTAGCATCTTGACTAGAAGGTAGATTTAGAAGTTATTCTTAGTTGTTTATGAGATTATGATTTAATTTTCTACAGGTCTTCTGATGTGCTTGAAGTTTTGTTTGAAATTTTTCTTCCACTAAATATTTCTGTGTGCTATGAGAGTGAGAGAGAGAATATCATCATCATTGCACAAATAGGGATTTGTGGTAAAACAGCAGCCTGCACAGTATCTCTGTTTAGCAGAAGTGATAATGGCATCATTAAGATGTTTTACAAGGCCTGTCCTCTGTCCTTTCTTTTGAATATAGAAGAGAGGGCATTGTGAAGTTTGCTTTTGGTTTTGGATTTGCTGGTTTGATTAGGCTTAGCCTAATTACCTCTTTCTCTGCCTCCTTCCTCCAGTGCCCCGCTGGAAGAAATGATCCTTCAGCAGGAGCAGTTTTTATTCTTCAGATTTGATAGCTCCTGTTCATCAGTCAGACATGAAAAGGTTTAGCTGGGGCAGCAGAATTTATGCAATTTAAGGATGCTCAGCACTGCCCTATTTATCATGGCTGTGTGTTTGCATTGTGCTGCTCTCATGACAGCACCAAACCACCTAGATCTTGAACAGTTTGCTTTTATTTGTGTCGCTTAAAACACAAGTGGAAAACTTAATAATTCTTTGATAAAACTTGAAAACTTCTGATAATTGTTTATGAATGCAAAAGTGTTATTCCTGTCACCAACTGCAAGTGACTCAGTAGGATATTTAGCAGCTTCACAAGCATTCAAGTAAGGATGTTGCAGCACAGGGGAAAGACCAAAACCAGAAATATAGTGTGTGGCACTTCATCATGGCTAGAGGGGGCCAGAGGGTGAGGAAAATCAGAGCCAAATAAATGATTAGAGACAAGTTTTCTTCTGGAATATGATGCTGAGATGCAACTTTGCTGAACTATTTTTAGAATAAAGTAAAACTCAATATGTCTAGAGATGAGTTATGAGAAACAAAAAGTAAATAGAAATGAAGACTATTATGAATTTCAAATAGTACTCACAAA